TGTCTAAATCGCGTTCTCTCTTCCCGCACGGATAACCCGCGACGCCCGCGCAATGAATATCCTAATCTACACGTATTTATCCACACAGTAGAAAAATGCAAATCTCTGATAAAAGTTAATCCTTTAATTAGTTTCACCCTAACAACACATAGCAACCGGTGTGCTGTAATATAGCTTAAATTTATTAACCTTATCCGAGTTTTAGTACTTTAAAAACTACCACTAAAATATAGAAATCCCTTGACAATTATATATCATAACCTCTAATTTCCATGTGTTTATATAACTCTAAACAGCAACATATTCTCTCGTATATAGACCTCATATGGCAGACCGGGATTTAAATATTAGCTTAATTGTAGATACATAACTCTTACCGCATGCTATTTCTCAGCGTTTTGACGCTTGATAATATTTATATATTACTAACAACAAAACATATAGCTGTATACCCCGAATATATAAGTTTTAGATATATAACACTAATGCTATTTCATATAGTATCAGATTTTTTACTCCTCTAGGAGCTAAATTAAAGGAATCACTTGACAATCACAGCAAAATGCTAGAGCTGTATCATAAACGTGGAGGGACGCTAAAAAATGCTTAGTCAGAAAATTTTGTCCAATCGTGTTTAAACCTGCCCGCGTGACGTCATTGCATATAATTATGACGTATGTTAATGAGTGACGTCATTACTCCTCCTCAATTGGACGAGTATTAATTATAAATGAGGTGGTGGACACCCACCACCTCAAAACTCCACCACCTCACACTCCACCACCTCACACCACCTCATCCACCACCTCAAAAATCCGGCCCGATCGGCCCCTATATTACTACTGGTACAATATAGTTATAGTGATTGGACTTTATGTACTGTAAACATAATTCAGCCTGCAAGGAATGCAAATGCACTCGGACCACTCTTTAAACAGCGGCCATCTTATCATTAGTATTCTATTTTGTAGCTATCGACGACGATCCACTAGGCATGCAGAAACCAATAGTCGCTGGGAACAAGTTCCACAGCGACTACATTACAGTCTGAATATAAAAGATTGGATTAAACTTCATTACAATTATTTGAATCAACTGTGGAGTTAAATTTTTGAAGAATGGATCAGAATAACTGTTTGCAAAAAACAATGTACAATGTACACTAGCGACTGAATAGCCAATCAGTTTAGTTAATTAGCTTGCATTAGCATTGATGTATGTTTAGCCAAATGAAATATACTTATGTGATAGAAGTCATATAAATGAGCTGTGAAAGACACTGTACCATCAACAACCATGTATTTATATGGTACTTCATATAAACGCAAGCACACAGACACGCAACGGGAGTCCATTATTTACTTCGTTATTTATTTTTGTGTTTCAGGCGCTGGTTGTTTCTTTGTGAAACATGTGCAGACAGGGATGTGTATTAGTGTCACAAGTAAAATACATAAGGACGAAAATTGGGGAAACTTAGCTTTTGTGGAACTTTCCAACAACTGTCTGGATCCAGCTGCTCAGTTTCGGTTTCTTGATAATAATGCCATGTTCAGTTTCAAAAGAAAGGGATGTTTCGAGGCAAACCATAGGGGTGGTACTGGTTATGATCTTCCAATGTTGTATTCCCACGTTACTAAAAAACCTTCAGGAAATTGTCGTGATAAGGTACATGCTATGAACCAGACCTCTTGGGGAGGTTTATCTGCAAATTATTATCCTGATAAAGGGAAGCGGTGTGCAGTCCCTAAAACAGATGATCGACTTGCTACAAACCCAGGAACAGATCCCTACATCGGATTGACGACAAATTGTAACGATGCAAAGGATAAACGTTTTAATTTTGGTAAGTTGTTTTTATCTGTATGCAGTTAATTTGTTTGATGTTTTTGTACATGAAAGTTCTTATTTGTGGTCTTGCAGTCTGCATTTCGTATTTACTTAACATAAACCACTTGTATTAAGACTTAGCTGTGTACAGTAAAATGTTTTTACCTTCTTTATACACATAAGAATGATTCAATTCCCTCGGGAACTGCCGACGCCTTAACTTTGTCCTCAAAAGCAAAAAGTGTATATATTTTATGTCATCGATGAAGAAAATAAAACGGAGCGGTCGGAAGACAGAACCTTGTTGAAATCCACGTATAATTAGATTTTCCTTATTAAGTAAATCACGAGCAAGACTCTATGGTTGTTCCAAATATTTCATATAATGTTGAGTTTCTGTATAAGAATATCATGTGCAGCAAAGCTGTTTTGCATTATGTATATACATCGCTATGCCGTTCAACAAAATCTCTTGCCCTACTTGATATTGTCATTTAGTGCTCGTCATTTCTAAATTTTTGTTCTCTTCCAGGTTCAGTGACGTGTCATGGAAATATGGTAAAGAATGCCAACTGTCCTAAATACCAGTACATGGTGGTCAAGACTGCATCGTACCGTAGATTGTCTGACACAAAGACATGTGGTTTGAGTGATGATTATAGTTGTGAAGTTGATGTAAGATGTCTTGTTAAGGAATTGTGTGACGGTCAACATGAGTGTAGTATAACTGTGGATAACAACTTGTTCTGTGGTGATCCATGTCTAGGATTGACAAAATATCTTTACTTTGAATATCAATGTAATAATACTTCAATACCATACGTTTGTGGTACGTTTCACTATTGTGTCCTGTAGTAGGCCGATTATCATCAATGCAAACTCTATGTCTATCACACATAGTACATCATGTTCACAATCATAACTGTTCTCCCATTCAATGTCCGGTTTACCTAAAGCATGCAATCATCTATTCACACATTCGCTCATGCAGAGGCGGATCCAGACAGATGCTAGCGATGCAAATGCATCGGTCAAAATTGAGAAATCATTTACCTTAAGCAATCATCTATTAACTTCTTATATTAACTCATTCGCAGATTCGCTTGTTTACTGATTGTTTTCCCGACTGGAGAGGGTTTTGTACCAACTATTCTTAATTTTTTCTATCTGGATCTGCTAGGAAAATTCCTATGTTGGTTATGTGATATCGCAAACAACGGTGATATTCTCGCACATTATGGCCAAGATTCAGCAAAATTGTCATGCATTATTACCAATTACCAACCCCCTCCATACACCTCTAACTAATACAACTTCTTATTTTATAAGAAACAACTTACCATATTACCTTAATTGATTTTTAGTTCCAGAAAGTCCTCCACTGAAAGTCAAAGTGACTGCAGGAAGCTCGTCATCGTTATCTGTAACGTGGGATCCTCCTGAAAAAGACAAAAGAAATGGCATTATCGTCAGTTATACTGTATGTATCTCACATCAAGAATGTAAACCTTGCTTTAGGGAATATACTACAAAGGAAAAGATGATAGTCATCAAGAATTTGATTGACTCAACCAAATATTATGTTCGTGTTCTTGCAACTACCAAAGCTGGTCGTGGACCCTATAGTGAAAGTAAAGGGAAATTTACGTATGGAAGTAAGTGTAAAGTGTCGCCTTGCATTTAGACGCAATGCAATCTTTATAAATCTGAGGCTTGTAGTTTTATCATGTTTACCCAAATGTACATATTTTCTTACAGAACATCAAAATGGAACAGCATATGCTCTGACTTTCTCCTTGCAGATTTCTTCACGAAATTTCACGTAAGTTGGCAAAACGTTTGAAAAACCACACAGAAATATTGCATCTCGAGATAACGACCTGCACAGGACGTTAAGGCTGTACTGTGAATTTACCGTGCGTATTTTATCATATAGAAATTTATTTGTAGGCATTTTTACGTCGTGGCATTGACATTAAAAGACGGACAGGGAGGTCAATCGCCAGATAGTTATGAAAACAACGACTTAATGACGTACGCTGAGGCAAGAAAATCAACCGACCCGAAACCTTATATCGCTGCAGTAGTAACATCAAAGGATGAAAACATGTTTAAACTTGGTGATGGCAGAAATACAAGTAATCCAACATCACGAAGATGCAGTTCAACCCCAATGGTCCGTTGGAACCTGGCACTAGTTACAGTATTTTTCAAAGGATTTTTATTAATAACAAGGTACGGTATTTGTTGGTTATCACATTTTAGAAGTAAAGATTTCCTTGTTTAAAGCTATCAAAATTTCTGTGATCACAGTAGAAAATTTGCGTAAGTTTTGAAGGATTTGTAAGAAATGTTTAAAGGGAACTGTCTCACTGTTAAACACGTATTTTTATTTACTCTATAAGTCTACATTCAATTCTGAACATTATTTTTAACTTGACAGACAAATATACTATCACTTTCTTTACTACAGGGTGACTATTACTCGACAGATTGGAGTCCTGCTTCAAAAACGAGCGAATATTCAGGTGCGTCATTTAAGAAAATTCTACTGATACTTGTGTTAGATATCTGCTGTTATCCTAACGAAATATACTACTTTTACAGGAATTGAAAAGTGAATTGATGGAGACAGTATATTATTACAATCTTTAAATGATTTTGTATATTTTTGTTTCCAGGTGGCGCTCGTGTATTGACCAAGCAATCCAGTGGTGACATAAAGGCAAAGGAAGGTAATCTTATCAACCTACTGTGTTCTGCTCAAGGTGAACCTCCAATTACTTTCAGCTGGGGAAAAGACCAGAACCCACTGAACAGTTTAATGGAAATAGAAAAGCCTCATAGCAGTTCTTTACTTGTTGTAACAGTGAAAGATCAAACAAGTTTTGGAAAATATATTTGTCACATCCGAGATCGATTTCAAAGCACTACTCATACAATTTCGATCCGAAAAGATACATGTAATACTGCATTTGAATTATTCAACCTTTATATAAAACAAAACCTAATCAGAACAGAATCCGTTTCTGTTTTAAATGAGTTATCTTGAATGATTACCTGTTCCAATGAAGCGCATTTTTAGACATTCAAAGTTAACGCGTTGTTTAATCTTCCCATAGGTGAAAACTATCTTGCTGGAATTATTGTGTTAGCAATTCTGCTGGTCATTTCATTTGTTATAATTGCTTATTTCATTTATCAAAATCGTCGACTCAAATCATCAAAGGCAAACCCAGACAACAAGAGCAAAGACAGAAATAATTCAGAAGAAATTGATGAAAATCCTGAGAATGATGATGGGAATTATGAAAAAGTGGAAAAAGAAGAGTCGACGTATACCGCTCTGAAAGGACCTGGTCCTGGGGAGGAAGAAAATGATGGTTACTTATATACCCCTCTAATTGAAGTACACAAGGACTACGTGATTCCGAAAGAAACTGGATTTTAAAGAGGCTCGTGTACGAAGCCCATTTGGTTTATCTAGTGAAAAGTTCAATATAGAAAACAAGTTGGCATGCATTTGTTAAGTAACCAAACTGAACTCTTTCGACCTGAATAAAAAAGTATCAATCTGCAGTATTAATGACTTAGACTGTTATTATTATATCTGAAATACAGCCTAGTCCCAGGCTCTCTCTCTCTATTCGCTGCTTTGATATATTTAAATAAGTCTTAAAAGTTTTATGCCTGGGTGTGCTGTGCGGAACGCTTCAGCGAGAGAGCCTAGCAGATTTCGGTAAAATGGTCCCTGATTTCAAAAAAGTGGTCCCTGGCCTGATTACCAAGCATACCGAATTTGTAAATAGGAAATGTTATGGAAATTTCCTTTGCGTTTATGATTAAGTCATTAATTTTGCTCTAATGCTGTCGGAACAATGAAATAGGCTACGTTAATACGTTTCGTTACCATACGGTCAGAATGGAATAACGAGCTAAATATGACTCGTGTTTACTAAAATATAAAGCCATATTAAATGCTATCTAGAAGCTTGAAAATTATGCCAAGTCTCCGACCAAAAATGTTTTGCGGACAACACAGTCATGTCAGGCAAATATTTCCAATCTCCTCAGCTGCTTAAACCTGTCAAGTAGGAAGCGTAGTTGTGTATAACAGTATGGTCTAGTGTTGATCACAACTTGCGAGTATATAAATAACATCAACGATTATACGACCATTGCTCAGACTCAGTATCGTAAATTTGTATGTAATTTTTTTACTATTGAGCACATTTTTAATACAGTTTGAATTTGGTTATGTAGACATCGAACATGATCAACGAACATTGTTGTATTTACAAGGTTATTTGTATATATACACTTTCCGCCATATTAAAAATACTGAAATCTGCTAGGCGTTCTGAAGCACCTTTGGCGGTGACATCGCACCTAGGTCCCAGTCTCGTACTACATCCACGTTTTTTCTCGCGCTTGCTTCAGAACGACTGGGACTAGGCTGATTTAAATGATAAAGGTGTGCATGATTTTGAAAAAAGAATGATTATTAGCACATTATTGTGAGGGCTGCAGCCCCCAGCCGCCGGTTGCTACGGCCCTGAGAAGTAATAAACCGAAAAACATTTACCGATTTACGATTTGTTAAATGTTATCCATGTTAATGCCGTGATTTCGTAAATCATTTTATACTGACAATACAATTTTATAATATTTTCTCAGTTTAAACGACTAAAATTTTGTTATACTATTATTGCCGTAATTTTCCCGCGAATGGCCAACCCGATTTTTCGAATATGTAAGTTCTAAAAAAGTTGGTGGGTGATCACCACCCCCCCCCCCCCATCCTCGCTACGGCTCTGGTTTCTGCATGCATGTATTTTTCTAGTAATGTTTGTATAGCGGCCGCTTTGAACAAAAAATGTTATTTTGTAGTTATGAAGTCCCACACAGATATCTATATACATCTCGCCGGTTACATTGTTTGTCTTAAATGAACAGCAGTATACGATAACGGCAGCGTGTGGCAAATACGTTATGTGATCAGTCTGAATAACTGAATATATACTTTTTATCTTTGCGATCGTAGCAATTAAATAGCTCATTAATTTTGAACTTTGTTTGGCAATTTTCTTATTTGGCATTTTTCTTTCAAATTAGCTCTCCACGCGACGAGTAAAATTGTCTGGTGTTATGACAAGTGAAATTAAAGTATAATTTTAGGGCCCACCTGAACTGTTGTAGAGTAGCTATACGCAGGTGAACAAATTTTGAAAAGTAAGATAAACAAGTCTGAAACGGTGTATCTTTCTTCCACTAACTTTATTAATTTTAATCAATCAATCAATCGCGACTTATTATACAAGTTTGCATAAATTAACTACGAGCGTCAACAACGAAATTGACATGAAAAACGAGTCTGAATCCTTTCTATAAAAATACTTCAACCCATAAATTTGTAGTTTTTCTAGTGTTCGGATTTTCAAGTTTTTAGTTCTTCAATAACATCATTATGTATAAGACCATTAAGCGAGAAGCCATTGTTTTTATTGCTCGTTAAAACGAGAAACTTCCGCGCTTACGTCTTAGCCAATCAGGTGCAATGAATCAAGTCCATAAGAGTCACAGTGTATGATTAAAATTTTATTATTTAATTTGTCTATGACAACTGCGCCAAATAAGAGGTCTGTATTGACAGATTCCGATTAAACCAAGACGGTCTCGTTTTCGTTTAATTAGTTAAAATACACAACTCAACGAAAACGAACGAATTTTCAGTTATTTTAATAAGGATAGCTTATTTTCAAAGATTACAATTAAACATGCATATATCAAAGCGTAGGTTATTCTTTAGCAAATGGCTATAAATTGAATCGAAACTACCGAAGTTTTACATAGTCTTTGGGATGTGTTATTTTGGTTTCAAGCATACATGTACATACTTTTTGACATTCTCGTAAGGGCGATACAAATTGTACTTTTTATCCTAGTATTTATGCAAAATTTAAATTAATTTAAATTAAGTACTTTAATAATGCCTTTCAACCGTACTCACGATGGACGAGTATCACGAGTTGCATGAGACTGCAACCGCTCGATCTGCAGTTTTTATCAGTTGTAATTAATCTTTTATTCTCCCTCTACAGGGTGTTCCAAAAAAAAAAAAAACTGTTGAAATAACGTATTTTTCGAATTTGAATGCCCTACACTAAGTTGAACGCAAAGATGTGTAAAATATTGACAGGTTGCATATATTATAAATATTGCCGATTTATTAAGAAATTAAAATATCTTTGTAAAGCACACGATTTTTTTGCTCTTGGAAATTTAAAGCAGCTTCTTAAACAGTTTCTTTATGCACAAGATTTACTTATGTCAAGCTTTTATGCACTTGTGGCTTCAGCAGAGTGCTGAGGCATTCAAATTCTAACAAAACTTTATTTCAATAGTTTTGGTTTTTTGGGACACGTCACATCCTGTACAGGGTGTATAAAAAAACGCAACCTCAAAATTTCCTACGAAATCACTTTGCGTTTATTTAAGCATAAACGAGTTTAGGCCCCTATGAATTGAAATTGAATAGTTAATAGATCATATACTGTTGTTGTATTGTACTTGTAAAATAAAAAACTTATTAAGTGCATAAATTTAATGCATAAATTTTGCTTTATGCACTCGCGTGTGCAGTAATTTTGACAGTTGTACTATTTTAAATTCCCAAGCACCTAAAATCTTTTGTCCTTAAAACAATGTCGATTTCTCGGGAAATTAACTGTACAGGGTGTATAAAAAAACGCAACCTCGGAATTTCCTAGGAAATCACTTTGCAATTCTTAAAAGCATAAAAGATTTTAGGCTCCCAGGAAATTGAAATCGAATTGCTAATATATCATATTACTGTTGTTGTGCATTAAATAAATGCATCAATTTTGCTTTATGCGCTCGCGTGTGCAGTAATTTTGACAGTTGTGCTATTTTAAATTCCCAGGCGCCTAAAATCTTTTGTCTTTAAAACAATGTCGATTTCTTGGGAAATTCAGCAGTTGCGTTTTTTTATACACCCTGTGTACATGCATACACTATAGACTGGGAGTATGTACAGGGTGTCCCCAAAAAACCCAAAAACTATCAAAACGGCTATCAATACAATATCATTAATCCTATAGCACAAAAGAAGTGAATAATTAACAATTATACCATTCGCTCTCGTCGTATATGAGCTGATAGCCGACGAGGTGCGTACTGCGTAGCACCGAGTCGGCTATCAGCCATATACGACGAGAGCGAATGGTATAATTGTTTTATAATATAGTCTAATAGCCATTAACTGAAGCAATAATTAATTTTATTATATGGCAAGCATTTGTTTTGATGAATCGCGCAATTTCATTGGCTGCTGACGAGGCAGGATTTTCTCGTATTCAATACGCAATTTTTTTGCCCTGCGACAAGAGCCGAGTTTCAAACGGCAAAAAGTGTCTAAAAGTCTTTCAAAACTATTCAAAACGAAGAAAAATAAACCTAAACTAAAGAAAAGGAGCACCTTCTTTGGTTAAAGAACTTTCTCAATATGTTTTTGTTAGCGAAAGTCGAAATTACAAGGTAAATTTTACAATGTTTATAACTATTAAAGAAGTCAGGAATAGCTGTGTTTTGACTTTGTGAAGAGCTGCAAATCTTATTTGCAGATAGCCGAGGAATTTGACACCATCCTAAATAAAAAATACAACTAAAGCAGCCACAGATTTATATTTTCCCCTGAAAATTTCTGGATTTTTTCGATAAAAAGAGATCTATTTATGAGATGAAGCGAACTAAAAACGTGTACTTGTCCATACTGTTTATTAATTTTATTGTTTCCATATTTGTTATCTTTGTCTTTGATTAAATGACGAAATACCTCGTATTTTTCTTGAAATACTATCCAAACTGTGTTAGTATTCTATATAAAAAGTGCTGTGGAGTAGTTTTACTAACCAAGCTTGAGAACATTTTTTACAATTGTTCTTTTTTGCAAATGCTTCGGACTTTGTACTTTGCCCTCGCGTGACCTTTTCTTCCATTTACCTCGCTATCGCGAGGTCAATACAGCAAGACCGAGGTTGGATATTTTCCCGTACTGCCCGAACGGTTGAGGTCAGTAAGTTATTAATCCTCTGTTACGGATCCTCTGTCTTGGTTTTCGCTACTCGCCGTATATATGAGCTGATATACGGCGAGTAATTCAACCAATCAGATTGCAGAACAGCTCATATACGGTGAATGACTATATTATAATTAAGAGTATATCTGGAGTTTCAGACGTCGTCCATGCTCTGTTGTCGACGGCAAAATGTAGGCCTATATTTTCACGTCTTGTAAAGTAGGCTAGCATTTCAAGCCGTGGCAGGCGATTTTTCTAACAGCGTTGATCAAAATTGCTCTGAAGGTTAACTAAGCTCTGTTTAGCTGTTTTACTCGTTCTAAACTGTATCAAATTCATAAGAAAGTAAATACAGGACAACATTTTCATACAATTATTTATTTCAAAAAGTTTGTTTAGCCGTCGTCCTGACGCCGCCGTTGTACATGCGTAAACTCGGCTGACAACCGCGTTGATAAAAACATCCCTTGTTTAAGGCCATGTTACACGGTGCAATTTTCCTTGCAACTTACAATGCAATTCTACTCTTGAGAGATGTAAAATTGCCAAATACGAGTCTTCATTACACTTCACTAATTAACATCTCTCAAGAGTAGAATTGCGTTCCAAGTTGCAAGAAAAATTGCACCGTGTAACATGGCCTTTAAGCTTACTATCATTAATTTGAACGACCAATTTGAATACAACATCTCGTATGTCCACTTGACTTTCTGTGTACTTCGCACGAGTCTATAATTCCTAAAATTAATGTTCTAAAATGATGTTGTGGCACTGTTAACTTCAGCCTGCACTGGTGGTACATTGTTATTGTTTTGGTCCCCATTGTTGAAACGATCTTTATACAGTTTATGAACTCTAGCGTTCCATAAGAAAGCAACTGCAAGGTATAATCCTTGTAAGCAGACAAAAATAACGAACAGATATTCAAATGTCACGATATTTCCAGAACCGGCATGTAAGAAACCGAGAATCCAAGGAAAACCAGTCAGAGTAGACAATTTTATGCAGATTTTCAGATTTTGTTTTCTGTTTTGATGAAGCGCTCCCGTGGACTCCTGCTGTTTTAGCAAATATATTGCTGTACGAATAAATATTGAGAGGTTGAAAAGAAGCGACAAGCCAATTGGCAATATAAACAAGTAAATCTTGGAATTCTTTGTCGCCAAGAAACAAATAGTACCATAGTTGATAGGAAATACTTCTGTCTTGTCCAGTGCAATACAAACAGCAACAAATGCAGCTGGTAATGTCCAAACAACAGCTGTATACTTTATAAAGGTAACGTAATTTTCCCCCTCGCTTCTTCTTGCTGAGATTAAGTTCTTCGAAAAAACAACGCATGAGCGATGAGAAATAACAGACATGGCGACGAACGATACAAGAATGAAGTAATGTTCCATGACGCCGATGATGGTACAAGCAGTTGCATTTTCTTTTACATATGAACGAACCAACCAAACAGATTGATATATTAACAACGACAGACACAAATTCATCAAATTTTTTCCAGGAAGAGTTCTCAGTTCCGAGAACAATGTGTAAGTTATTAGAACAAGGAGAACTGAAAGTATGGAAATAATAAACCCAGCCATCGTTATAATCTCCAAAGGTTGTTTATGGTTGTCATGGTAAATTGCGGACCCAGTGATGATACTGATAGGTATATTTGGAAGACAAATAAAAACTGTTGAATTTCTGAGTGATGACTTTGAAAAGTCGTCAATCAATGTACTGACATTTGCGTCGTCAACAACATCACCAGCAGCGTCATCATTTTTTTTTACGTAATACTTTCCGAAAGGATACATCCGGTTTGTTACATTGTGGTATAAAGTTAAGTTAGTAAGAATAACGTATTCATGTTCGGAAATGTTAAGCCATGCTTCACAATCAGAGAAAATTGTTTGAGGACAAAGTGTTATATACTCGTCAGTCTTCTCTATTACGTCTTTCAACAAGAACGTCTTTCCTGTTTTGTTTTCAATTACTTTGCCGTTCTTTTCGTCTATTTTGTATTCGTTGATTGAGAACGTCTTTTGTCCAACACAAGCAAGTTGTTTTACAAGAGCATTAATTACCAACAAATTTGATCCAAGATATGATATATCTTTCATCTGGTTTGGAAGCTGTGAAAAGCTGTCGATTGTATCATTGCTTTGGCTCAACCGCGCCAGGACTTGAAATGGAGTCAGTGTTACTCGAAACGTAACAACCATGTACCTTTTGTTTTTCATTTCATCACAAGTTTGCTCGTAAGTACTCGTGGCGGATACTTGATTAGTTTTCAACTTAAGAACTGTTTCCAATTTTTTTTCCAAAACTTTCTCCATGGACGGTGGTGTTGGATAACTGGCAGGTTGGTCTGGAGCTAGGCCTGGAGGGCCTGCAGGCGCTGCTGGGCCTGCTGGGCCTGAAGAGCCTGAAGAGCATAACCAGCATGGGCAGCTTTGGACTAGCCACAAAGCAATAAAATACTGATTTGATACAACATCGTCAACGGAAATGACCTTACCTTTTATACGGCAAAACCCTAAGTTTTTATCAAATACCAAGTCAGATCCACATTTTCGTTTCATGTTCAAAGTAGCTTTGGAAGCAGTTTTTTCGACATGAAATACTGTTGAAAATCGGCCGTCATTCCACGACGGACCACCCGGACCACCTGGACCTCCTGGACCACCAGGACCTCCCGAACCATCAGGACACTTGTTGTTTAACTTCCATTGACCTATGTCAGTGAATCCGCGACATAACGCGCATGCTTTGTTCTTGAAGTAACGTTTTCCATCAGAAACAACTTCCACAGGTCCATTCACACAAGTATAGTGCGATGGGTGAGAGGAGTTGGAACATCCTCCCGTATCATTTTTAATGATGCAGTATCGTCGTGGTTGGTCGCTACTTGGTTCGGTTTTTGGAATCTTTCCCCCTTGTTTTATCATTAATTTTAGTCCTGCTTCAAGGTCATATTCAGCAGGAAGTGTTATGTAGGTTAGAATCCGAATATTCCAGCTACTGTATCTTGTTATTCCGTGGCAAACGGCGCAATATTTGTTACGATAAGTAATGGTGTTCTTGCCTACTACTGGAAGATACTTCGTGATAGGAAAGGAAAATTTGTTTGGAGGATTTTCACAGTCGAACTTCGTTTTATCAGATGACCAGTTTAGTGGACACTTCTGGATCATCCAAACGCCTTGAATTCCGCAATGTTTAGAATGTTCATGAACATACGTAGTTGTAACACATGTCCATGTGGACTCTTCTGTGTTAATGATGCTGGAAGGTTGCACTGTTTGGTTTCCACAACGCTTCTCGTAATCAGTACAGCAGTCATAAAAAGTTTCAAAGCAAGCGTTGTCATAGTAACAACTGAATTTGTTCTTAAAAACTGCCTTTTTACGAGTACATGTACTTGAACTATAATCTCTCTTTGTATTTCTTTTTTGTCTATCCCTTGGTGCTTCTGGAATTCTGTTCCATACTTCGTGCTCGTTAAAAAGTTGATATTTCTCATTATCTTTATTCCTGTTCTCCAAAATATCAACACCACCTTTCGGTGAAATTGTTTTTACTACGTTTCCTTTCCATTTAAAAGGCAGCAATCCCTCTCCGACGATCTGAATGAATGTAACAGCGAAGACCAACACAATGTTCCGACGCATCACACCGAAGGATTCGTGAAATCCTCAAAATCCAAATTGTTGTTGTTTCTATATTATAATGGCTGTATATCGGCCGTTTTGAACAAAAAGAATTATTATTTTGTAGTTACGCAGTCCCACAAAGATATACTTCTCGGCTACACTGTTTGTCTTACATGAACATGCTGTATGACAACAGTAGCTGTCAATTAAACGTTATGTGATCAATCTGAATGACTGAATTTGATCATTATATCGAACAGTTTCTATCTTTGTGATCGTAGCAATTGAATAGCTCATTAATTTTGTACTGTTTATTTGGCAATTTTCTTATTTGGAATTTTTCTCTTAAATTAGTTCTCCAATTCGTCTGGTGTTATGACAATTTGTATAGGTAATCAGTGGCGTAGTCAGCCCGACGCGATTCAGTCCCGCTATGCAAATATTGCCATGTTTATACACTATCAACACAATCAATTCCTAAAGAAAGAAATAATGAGTTGAAATTTGCATAGCGGGACCAAATCGTTGGGCTGGCTACGCCACTGTAGGTAATCGCGTTGTGGAACTTTGAAAACACAAGTGAATTTGAACCTTTATTTTAGAGGCCAAAATTTATTCGTAAGTAAAATTAATACGCATCTGTTGTGGAGTGGCTATACGCAGGTGAACAAAGTTTGAAAAGTAAGATAAACATGTCCGAAACGGTGTTTATTTCTTTCACTAACTTTATTAATGTTGATCAATCAATTGCGGCATATTACAAGGTTGCATAAATTAACTATGCACGTCAACAACATGAGGAAGCCCTTTAAATGTCAACGAAATAGACATGAAAAATCTGCATCATTTCAAATATTCCAACCCATAAATTTGGGCTATTAGTAAAGCACGGAGCACGGAGCACACGGAGCACGGAGCACACGGAGTACGGAGCACACGGAGCACGGAGCACACGAAGTACGGAGCAGTAGAAAAACGAAAATCCTTTATAATAAAATACACTGTTTACTATTACAAATTTTTGTTATTATTAACAAAGTTTTTTCGCGTATTACACGTTGGGGAAGTAGGAAAATGGGGCTTTTACTGAAAAACACATATGATGCAAAACCAGGCTGCCAAAAGCCATAGTATTTAAAATGGGATTGTGAAACTCGTTATCTTACATCTATCAAGCTTATGTAGTTATATTATATTCCGATGGGCAACACATAAAGAAACACTTACTGTAGAGAACAGCCGATATATTTCGTTACCCCTGCCAAAAAATAGCCAAGTATACTCATCTTTCAATGTAGCGGATCGACTGAACATTAAATCTTGTGATGAGAAAAGTGAATTTTCGGTTTATCCTTCGGCTCAGTGACCGGTGGCAGTGAGCTGTACGGCCGGCTAAGTTTAAACCGTTATACAGTACATCATTACTGCTTTCATTCTGGCAATTCGTTTTGAATATTCGGAATCATTCACAATATTATAAAACTGTATAAGATAGCTGTAGAACTATAAATGCTGTAGAATGAAATAAATAAAGAAAAGTAAGTTTTCAAATCGCGGTATTTGCCGATAAATCGGTAATCGCTACAGAAAAAACAGAACAAATTACAGTATTAAAATCACAACAAACCGCGGAAGTGGGACAATTTTTGTATTTTTACTGTAAGACATGTAGAACATGTACGAAATCCATACAGAAGTGTGTGTGTATTCTATACTTTTGAAACAACTAAATCAGACTTCGGAAAATTTGACCGTATTAAAGCTGCTTTTGGGAATTTAGATTTTAGGTCTTCGTTTTACATGTACCCAGACCAGTAAATATTTTTGAGTTTTGAATTTTGTGTATAAATCAACACCAACGCCTCAAAGGCGAAAAGGAGGGCAAGATTGTTAGAATTGCTATTGTAAACATGAGCAGTTTCGAGCATAAACATAAAATTGAAACGAGTAATTTTTACACATCTGATTGACTAAATTCAGGAAGCCATTTAAGTGTACGCGTATTTGTTACAATTCCGATCAACTCTGCCGTGCAGCACGGCAGAGCCAGAGGCAGAGTAAATTGTAAACAAATTGTAAGCTTGTGAGAATCAAAGTTCAAAACTCAAAAATATTTACTGGGTACATGTAAAACAAAGACCTAAAATCTAAATTCTCAAAAGTAGCTTTAATACTGTCAAATTTTCCGAAGTCTGATTTAGTTGTTTCAAAAGTATAGAATACACACACACTTCTGTATGGATTTCGTACATGTTCTGCATGTCTTACAATAAAAATACAAAAATTGTCCCACTTCCGCGGTTTGTTGTGATTTACTATAATTTGTTCTGTTTTTCTGTAGCGGTTACCGATTTATCGGCAAATACCGCGATAAAACGTAGTTTTCTTTATTTATTTTATTCTACAGCATTTATAGTTCTACAGCTATCTTATACAGTTTTATAATATAATAGTGAATGATTCCGAATATTCAAAACAGATTGAAAGAATGAAAGCAGTAATTATATGTATAACGGTTTAAACGTAGGCCGTACAGCACACTGCTCACTGGTCATTGGGACGAAGGATAAACCGAAAATTCACTTCTCTCCATGACAAGCTTTTATAATGTTCAGTCGATCCGCTACATTGAAAGATGAGTACTTGGCTATTTTTTGGCAGGGGTAACGAAATATATCGGCTGTTCTCTAAGTGTTTCTTAATGCGTTGGCCATCGGAATATAATATAACTATATAACTCATAAGCTTGATAGATATGAGATAACGAGTTTCACAGGCACAATCCTATTTTAAATACTATGGCTTTTGGCAGTCTTGCATCATATGTGCAGTAAAAGCCCCATTTTTCTACTTCCTCAACGTGTAAAACGCGAAAAAACTTTATTGATAAGAACAAAAATTTGTAATAGTAAACAGTGTTTTTTATTATAAAGGATTTTCGTTTTTCTACTGCTCCGTAGTTCGTGTGCTCCGTGCTCCGTGCTCCGTGTGCTCCGTGCTCCGTGTGCTCCGTGCTCCGTGTGCTCCGTGTTCCGCGTGCTCCGTGTGCTCCGTGCTCCGTGTTTTACTAATAGCCATAAATTTGTACATTTTCTAATGTTCGAGTTTTCATTAGAAGTTTTAATTCTTCAATAACATCATTATCCGCAACAACAATGAAGCGAGAACGCCGAGAAGCCAATGTTTTTATTGCTCGTTAAAACAAGAAACCTCCTGCGCTTGCGTCTCAACCAATCAGGTGCAAGTAAATTTGCCCTCTATATGATTAAAATTTTGGTATTTAATTTGTCTATGAAAATTGCGCCAAATAAAAGGTCTGTATTGACAGATCCCAATTAAACCAAGACGGTTTCGTTTTCGTTTAATTTAATTAGGAGTTGGCAATAAAGACCTAGCCCTTTTTGCAGGGTTATATTTTTGGTTCAGTGCATCCAACAAGTTCAGTGTCTTTTCCACGGTATTGCTTACGTGTTTGTTCCATTTCAAATCACTGATAAGTGTCATACCCAGGGGCCGGTTGTACGAAAGGCGTTTAAGTCGCTATCCACCGTTTAACTTGCCATCTGCCGGCCAAATTTAAACGCCCCAGAAGTCGCGTTGTACGAAGCCCATTTAGCGCTATCCACCGCTTAAATTTTGCCTATCCACCGTGCAAACTTTTAAAACGGTCTCTTGAGACCGTTTAAAATCGCTATACGGCGGAAAAGTTCGTAGTTTGAAGATAAAACAATGGTTATTTCGGATGAAAGAGCATGGGATAGGAATAGAAATGCACAATCCTGTTGAGGAGTTCAGTCTTTTTAAATCAAATGTACATGAAAAACTCACTTTTAACTGGCTTGGTTTTGAGGTACACTGAGGTCACTTGCTCACTTGTAATTCCGTGACTTTGCTATATTTTACCAGGATTTACGCACACCAGTGACCAGTGTTTCGACGTTAAGTATACTCTGACTTTTTTCTCCTTCTTTTCTTCTATTATATAGTTTGAAAACAAGCAGTAAGACTCCCACTTTTAATTAGCTATTAAAACAAACAATGACTTTGAAAAGCCGACAAGTATACAAAATAGACAACAAGACGCCGAAAGTTGAAAAATGTTTGTTAACGTTTGCTCGCTTATCGCTTTGGTCTTAAAATTGTTTTGAATAAAAGTGCAAGATCGAGGAATGAGAAATTCAGCACTATCTAGAATCGCAACGAATGGACGAGAAAATTCAAAATTTAAACAACAACAAACTTTATTGCAAAAGCTTGGTGGAATTCACAAGTTACATAAAGCTTCTAAAGTTCACAAATGCCTAGCAACAACTGACGTAGAAGTAAGAAATTTCAGGAAAATTCGGTTTTCTCCGGTTAAATTAAAGGTTATCCTACGGATATAGTTAAACGCGATACTAAATGGGCTTCGTACAATGCAATTTTATCGGTAGTCTAGGATTGTATAGGAATTTGTATGCGTTTCATTTAGCGCAGGTAATCTTAACTGTTTTAGGGTAGAATGACCATGGCGGTCATGGCATATTTGCCAAAACTTGAATCTGGGACAAAAGTCCTGAAAATGACCCAGTCCTGAAAATGACCCAGTCCTGAAAATGACCCCGCCCTGAAACGGCGGTGCCGACATAGCTCTAACTTCCGAAAAGCAAAAGCGACCGTCTTGCCGAGGTGCTTGTAGTGTTTAGAACGGTTGCTTTTTTTTCCAGACACACTATTTTCTTTTCCTTTCTCGTTGATGCACCGTCATTCGATAATTTTCCCTTTACTTGTTCGTACATTTCCCAAAATATTTTGCTATAATGATCAGTTTTCAAATCCGTGCAACTCATGTATTTCAGGTTTTTTCTCTTCCTATCCAATTCAAGTTTTGCCGACTGTGTAAACAATTTCCCGACTGGGATTCAATTATTTGCCGAATGTGTGGTGTATCTGGGGAGGGGGTGTCCCCCTCCCCCACATACACAGACCCTAGCGACGCCCCTGACGTCTTGGATTATATTATATTCCGACTAGACTGGGTAATTATACCATACAGTTGTGATGGAAATGAGTCAAATGACCTTCAGAGCTTCTCGATCCTTCGCGAAGTTGAAGACATGTTAACGGGACACTTTTCAGGTACCTGCACTGGTTATCACGTGGAAAGAATATTTACTGTAATGCATGGAAAACTAAAATTTAACATTCTTAAAAATTTAACGCTCATTGTGCTATAAGCTGATCGTAAACTCAATCTATATTTCTGTAGTCGCTTTTCAAAAGTTCGTGAACTCAGTACAGAAAGAAGTTCAGCAAATAATAGGAGTGTTAATTAAGAAAGAACAGCTGCAATTTCTTATTGAGCAGAGTTTTAACACTCCTATATTTGTTGAACTCCTTTCTGTAAGCAGGGGCGTAAGAAGCATCAAAAGATTGGGGGGAGGGCTGGTTTCGAGTGGCACTTTTGGAATGAAAATAGCGCCTGATAACCTTTTCCCCGGAAATGTTGGCGAAGGGGGTATAAGGAAAAAGAATTGCAATCAAAGATAATGCAATCTGAACAAATTTTTTTCACGAAGGTAAAGAGCACTTTGCCACCGGAGAGAGGGCACATTTTGTGTTTCCTGAAAACTTGGAGGCCTTGCCTCGTCCGTTCCAACCCCCCGCCTGTCTGTAAGTTCACGAACTGTTGAAAGGCGACTACAGGAATAGATTGAGTTTACGATCAGCGCATAGCACAACGAGCGTTAAATTTTCGCAATGTTAAATTTTATTCTTACATGCATTCCAGTAAAAAATCTTTCCACACGATAACCAGTTCATGTAGCTGAAAAGTGTCCCGTTATAAACATGTCTTTAACTTCGCGAAGGATCGAGAAGCTCTGCAGGTCATTTGACTCATTTCCATCATCAGCTGTATCATTACCCAATCAAGTCGGAATATAATATAATCCAAGACGTCAGGAGCTAGGGTGTGTGTGTGGGGAGGGGGAACACCCCGCAGACATTCGGCAAATTATTGAATCCTAGTCGGGAAATTGCTTTCGCAATCGGCAAAACTTGAATTGGATTGGAAGGGAAAAACTGAAATACATGAATTACACGTACTGATTTGAAAAGTAATCATTATAGCAGAATATTTTGGAAAATGTACGAAAAAGTAAAGGGAAAATTACCGAATGACGGTGCGTCAACGAGAAAGGAAAAGAAAATAGTGTGTCTGTAAAAAAATGTTTTGTCCTCCCCCCGGCCCCGCCAATATTTTTCGTAAAAGAAATACTAATTAGTGGCTGAGACGAGTGACGAGTTGGCAAAATTAAACTTACACTCCTCCATTAAAACAGGGCTAGCGACGCCCCTACAAGCTGTGTCCATCGTTGTTTCCCCTTTCCAAACGCCCGGCGATGGAGGCCGTTCGCGGGACATTTATATGAATTTTCATAATTATCATAAATTATAAAGACAAACAGCGCTATACTTCCGGTCACACAGAACAGAATTTGAAACAGAACAGAATTTGAAACAGAACAGAATTTGAAACAGAACAGAATTTGAAACAGAACAGAATTTGAAACAGAACAGAATTTGAAACAGAACAGAATTTGAAACAGAACAGAATTTGAAACAGAACAGAATTTGAAACAGAACAGAATTTGAAACAGAACAGAATTTGAAACAGAACAGACTTCGCATGAAACAGCAGAACAGAATTTGAAACAGCAGAACAGAATTTGAAACAGCAGAATAGAATTTAGAATTTGATGTTGAATTCTGTTTTGTTGTTTTAAATTTTGTTTTGTTGTTTTAAATTTTGTGGTGCTGTTCTAAATTCTGTAATGCTTAGTTAAAGTGTGTTATGTTGTCTCAAATTCTTTTGTGTTGCTCTAAATTCCGTTCTGCTGTAAATTCTATTGTGTAGCCCCCAATTTTATCCTGCTGTCGGGGAGGGGGGCGTGAATTGGGGTATACAAATCCGCCGATCCGCCCTAATTTGAAGCAAAATCCGCCGATCCGACAATGGTCGTTTCTAAATTTGGATCCGCTAAAAGCTCTACTGTGAAGTCACAATGGAGGATCCGAATTAAATTGCAAGCTAAATCCACAATCTGAGCCAAAATATTAGATAAATCCGCAATCCGCTGTATTAATCCACAAATCCGTGTAAAATATTCGCCAGATCCCAAATCCGAACAATTTTTTCGGCGGAATCCGACGATTCGAAAACCTATTCACCCCCCCCCCCCTGCCGTAAATTTTGTTATGCATGTTAAATTCGGTTGTTGTACAATAGCCATGTTGAAGAACAGAATTTAAGTTGACTGGAATAGATTTAGAAAAGTATTTTGGCGGTAATGACCCCTCATACAGAAAGTGCACTAAATTTTACTGAAACTACAGTTGAAACCTCTATTATGCTCAGGGAAATGTAAGACATTTATATCGGACATCTTGAAGAACTGCATTATGTTTCTATAACGCCAATTGATCAATCTGCTTCTCAACAAATAGGAACTGCAACTGGTAAACAATATAACCCGCAATCTAATAGTAATAAAATTATCAAATTATTAAAAAAAGACAGCGAGAGAAAAGGCATACAATGAGAATATTAAGGAATCTTGGCAAAAAGCCACTGCAACATACAATGAAATCCTGAAAAAGTAAAAGAGAGTTTTAAGACAGCCACGTACTGCAACATACAGACAATCAAATCCTGAAAAAGTAAAAGAGAGTTTTAAGACAGCCACTGCAACAAACAGATAATCAAATCCTGAAAGAGTAAAAGAGACTTTTAAGACAGCTAGCCACTGCAACATACATACAATCGAGTCCTGAAAAGGTCAAAGAATCGAATAAAACAGCCACTGCAACATACAGAAAATTAAATCTTAAAAAGGTTGCGGAATTGTCAAAACTGTCAAATATTATGTACAAGCAGAACTATTCGGAAAGAGATACAAGGAAGACGGAGGTCAGATAACGAGATTCAAATGAAATTCTTTTGTTTAAATACCTTCCATGTATGACGAAAGCCACCCTATTAGGGCCGTTTTCCGCACCAATTGAAAGCTTAGCGCAACCTCGTCCCCAGGATCTTCCTGGGGACGAGGTTTAGCTTAGCGTATTTCTTTGTTTCCTAAGCCCTAGAGTGGAACCAATGACTTCGACACAAAAGAAAATGTTACGATACAGTTGAAGCGGAAAACGGCCTTTAGAACTATGATTCTGACACCTGTAAAGTACTTTGAATATCATATAATATGGACCTAATACAGTAATACTTCAGATATGCAAATATGTAATCATTTTGAACTTTGGTAGTAAAATTATATTGACATATTATGGCCAATGGGTGAATTTCTTGGTAGCAATGCAAGGTATACAAGCACGAGTCGAATTGTAGGTTGTGATGTACTATTTAAAACATGTGTATGAGTGTTTTATCATATGTAAAATGCGAGTGGCCGAGGGCGCAGCACAAGCATTTTAGATATGATAAAATACGACTACAAGTATTTTGAATAGCTTCAAACACAACTACAATAGATCGCAGTAGCGTAGCCAGCCCGACAATTTAGTCCCGCTATGCAAATTCAAAATTAGTACTGCGGATTCAGGTAGACCGTTTAATGCGAATAGTTGTCGCGTTAGTTTTAACAGTTGTACGATGACGTTTCTAGGCAGATTTTTGACGTTTCTAAGGCGTGGCTTCAACGTTTATTTTTAAAATTTGAACGTTGTAATTACAAGGTAATTGCTAAATAGTATACTTCAAAATAAGGTTTCCGTTTTTATAACGTAGAAAAAATCATCCTAACGCAAAACTAAACCCTAACCTATATAACCCTAACTTATTTAAAAAATTGATATAAAAACGGAAACCTTATTTTGAAGTATACTATCTGGCAATTACCTTGTAATTACAACGTTCAAATTTTAAAAATAAACGTTGAAGCCACGCCTTAAAAACATCAAAAATCTGCCTAGAAACCTCATCGTACAACTGTTAAAACTAACACGACAACTATTCGCATTAAACGGTCTACCTGAATCCGCAGTATCATTATTCATTTCTTTAGAAATTGATTGTTTTCACATTCAATGAACACGAGAATATTTGCATAGCGGGACTAAATCGTCGGGCTGGCTATACGCTACTCAATAGATGCAGTCTCATTGGTATATTCTTTACTAAAGAATACTAATTAGGATGGACTTTTATATAAAGAATACTAATATGAGTTTTATCAGGTATAAAGCCGAGTTTTATCAGGTATAAAGCCTCGTGACATATTATGGTTGACATGATTTGCCAATCAGCTTATGAATTATTATTGAGTGTCGTTGCGATCGATAATTATAAAACTTTTCGCATTTTTCAATAATCCTAAAGACATCAATGATAGTTGGTTAGAAAAGTTAACTCAAATTTTATGTAAAACATTTGCAAGCTTCTCACAGTCTTCAAGAACAAATCATTATTAAAAAATTTGATTACATTCCATAACATGGTAATCTATGACAATGAATAATTCGTCGCCTTAAAGCCAATTGTCATTTTTAAAATTTCAAAAACTCTAATAAAAGTAGATACCTGCAGCGAACAGTATACCATAAATTTCATATAACTCAAATTAAGTAAGAATCTCAAATTAAGAGCATTTAATTTAATGGATTTTGATCAGCTCAACAGTTAGATTTGTATAAGATTACAGGTAAACTACGTCAAGGGTTTTGAGTTTCTAAATTGATTGCAATTTTCCTCATTACCTTTGCAATTTAAAACGTCCCTTGCAAATCCCTTGAGGGAATTTGCAACGTTATTAAAAGCCAATTAAATTTTCCTCAGTTCCTGTTACAAGTTCTTAACTTCCTGTTACAAGTTCCTAACTTCCTGCTCTGTTCTGCGTGTTGCTATTGGCTAACAAAAATAATCCACCAATGACAACGCTCAGAACAGAACAGGAAGTCAGGAAATTAAAATAGGAAGTTAGGAAAATTTAAAATGAAGTTTGCTGCATTGGAATATTGCAACAGCCGACAGGAACATTTCAAATTCCTTCAAATTTGCAAAGCTAATGAAGAAAATTCCAAATGACTTAGGAAGTCAAAAGAGGAACGCTTCACGTAGTTTACCTGTAAGACTGACCGAGCTGTAAGACTGATCGATACTTTAAATTAAATATGTCAAATGCTATGGACATTATACATGTACCAAACATGTTTTTTAAACACTGTCCACTATTAATGTCAAACAACCTTTAGTTAATAACCAACTGTTAAATTATATACTCAACACTGTTCACAAGAAAAACGCATCAAGCTGTGCCATTTTGTCCTTGGGTTTGCCTCTTCCCCTTCTGCCACGCCTACCCCGTCCACGCCCTCGTTTGCCCCCTCGGCCGCGACGAAACATTGGATGCCGTCCTTTTGCCATATCAAACTTCACCATCGGCACAAGAACAGGGTCACAGAATGCACAACCGGTGTGTTCTGTTTTGTCACCTGGGAGGGGAGACTTGTTCCGATGGAAAGTGACGTCGATGAGCGATGCACCACATTCGTCACAACCGTCTTCTGATAAAGACACCTTAAAGGCATCCTCAAATACGTGAAGCACCATGTTGCATTTATTGCAAGCCATTTTCCATTTTGGACCA